ACACACTTCACACACATTTCACAATTGCACATTCTCATCACACGAACACGCCACCTAATCACACATTCTTGACACGCGAATTCAATACGCGAATGCACTATCACACCACCACACCTCATGGCTACACACCTACGGCACATTACCACACCACCTTCAACCCAAGCATAATCCAAATTAGCCCACAATCACAAATCACAGAACCACGTACACAATTCAATTCATAGCATAATCCCACCGATCGATTGCACAATTCAACCCCCAATCCAACCACAACATCACAGCCCTACCCGAGCTTCCTAAACCTCAAATTTTCATCGCCAATTCAGTCCACAACCACCAAACAATCAATCACTCATTCAGTCCCAAAACAGCCACAAAACTGCCTAAACCGGGTCCTAAACGAGCCTAGAAATACCCGAGGTCCTAGGTAGTTTTTGGGGGAGACACTTACCCTAAAAAGCGAGACAAACCAGGGCTGGAACGGTGCGGAACAGCAGCAACAGCAGCGACGTCGCCGGCGGAGACGTACGGACGCCATACGGACACCGTACGGACGCCGACGTCCAGCAACGTACGGCCGGCTGGAGCATCGCGGCGGCAGCAGCTCACCAGTTCCAGCTTCGGCGCGGCGGCGGTCGGCCTCCAAGCGGCGGTACACGGCAGTTCCTTTTCGCCGAGAGAGAAAACAAGAGAGAGAGAGATAAGGGGACGGGTCAAGGGTGGTGGTGCTGGTGGGTGGTGGTTAGACGAGGCAGCAGCAGCGACGGCGGCCGGCGGTGCTCCGGCAACGGCGAACTCCAAGAGGGAGAAACCGGCCAAGGAGGAGAAAACGTGGAGGAGGAGGGACTGATCGGGGGCTGCTGGCCGAAAATGAGGAGGAGGAGAGAGAGAGGGAGTCCAATCTGGTCAAATATTGGGGGCTAGTTGCGCCACGTGTCGCCCATCCGACGGTTTTGACCAAAATGCCCCTAATCTAACGGGCCTTAATCATTCCAGCCAAATAATTGATGGGCAAAAAGGTAATTAGGTCCAATAATTCAGCTGATAAATACTTTTAATTATCCCAAATATTTTCCCAAAATTCGGAACTGAAAACGGCCCAGGGGCAAAATGGTCATTTTCCGGTCCCGGGGCAAAATTCCAATTTTTGGCTATACCAATCCCAAATGGGTGTGGCCAACATAATATGGCGTCGGAATCGCGAAAATAGCCTTTTAAGCTCTCGAAAATCGACTGGAAAGTCCTGGGGATTAAAATAATATTACTTTTCACTTCCGAGCCAAAATTCCAATTTTTGACCGAAGCCACTCCAAATATCCGTGGCCACCCTAAAATGACATCGGCCTCAAAAAATAATCTCATATGGCCTCAGAATCAACGTCGGGGTCCCGAGGGGCAAAATCGTAATTTTTCCAGTCCCGAACTGAAATCCATTTTTTTTGCAGAAATGGGTGGCCCCAAGGTTAGCCAAGCCAAAAATGTCATCGGCCGCTCAAAATTGTCACTTTCAAAATTCTCGATTCCCGAGCCCGAATTCCAAGAAATGACTAAAATCGAACAATCACGACTTTAGCTTATCTTTGGCTAACGGGTGGCTCATTGGGATTACGCGCTCTCCACCCGTGACCGACACTAAGTCAAATCACGTTTAAGTTTGCTCGAACCAAGGCGACCTCGATTGTCATGTGATTGCGAGGGTCTGTCACTAGTGCCCTTCGGACACGATCAATCAAATACATCGGTCTCTGTTGGCCCAAAACATTCCCTCGTCAATCCTTATGGTTGAAGGTCGAACCAAGGTCGAGTTCTTTGGTCGTGTGAACTCAGTCTCGTAATGGCCTTACCCCTAAGGTTAGCATCCCGTGAATGCGCATTTCCGGGTGAGATCTCACTATAAGTGCATTGGCCAAAATATTCATTTCTTATATCCCGGGAAAAGGATCGAAAATTCAGACTGTTACAAGGGAAGATAGTGTTTTGAGCGGCACGAACGTGAAGAATACTTTGTCCTAATTTTACGAGATTATGCTGGTCCGTTTCAAATTCATTCAGGTCTTTCTTTATTATTATCTCTTTACCAGATTTGACCATCTTAAAATAAAGCAAGATCATACTTTATCAAAGGAGAAAAGAAAGCACCTGAAAAGAAGCAAAGGATGGGTCTTTCTTTATTATTATCTCAAGTCGTGATTCATGCAGCCATTGTGGGACACTCTCTCCTTGCAGTTCTTCTGAGGATGGAGCTGTTTTCACAAGAAATTATTCTGGTGAGTTTACTCAGCTGATACTTGGGTTGGTGGAATTGGTACAAGAAAAGAAGCAAGAGATGGTTTGCCGAAATTTGATTTCATTGTGTGGTTTGTTATATTGAATAGGCTTTGAGTTCTTGAAATTTTGTATGTTATATGCCAATTAAAATTCAATTCGTGAACCTCTTCTTCGCCTCTTTACTGTCAATTCATTTTTTTCATAAGAGATTGGAGAACAAAATGACTATACAATACATTCTAAAACACGAATGTAATTCATCCCAAGACTATATAACAGTTTCTAAAATAACCTTGCCAAACAGTTTTATTTAGAATAACATGCATGGGAAGATTTTGAAAACGTCGAGCCAAAGCCGAAAACAAAAATGTTTATCTGGACTAAACAAAACCGAAATAATCAATCACATGTGGATTCTAGACATGCCAATCCTCAATTGATCTTCATGATCTTATTATATAATCCATCATGTACATAAGATTAACTTTCATATGCTGCTCGTGTTTACCCTGATAAATGAAAAGAAATATAACTGAGAGAGAGAGAGAGAGAGAGAGAGAGAGAGAGAGAGAGAGAGAGAGAGAGAGAGAGAGAGAGAGAGAGAGAGAGATCAATGTGATGCTTAATCTTAAAAGTTATGCACTCTTCTGCTCACCGTGATGATCAATGATTGAAGATGAAAGTAAAACATATCGGCAATTTGTATACAAACTTAACCAAATTTATTAAGTTGGGTAAATCTTACGAGCATACGAGAAGCGATTCATCATTGGTAAGCAATAATGGAGGAGACTTGACTTGAAACAAAAAGCAGAACAACGACCACCTGAGTGCCTATAGTAATGCAACTCTCTTCCTTCTCCCCTCTTTTGGTTTTCGTACGATAGAATAAAGCGTGTCGGACGATAGTTTTGCAATGTGAAAACAGACTTTTTGACTTGGAATATGAAAGCGTGGGTCATCAAGAGTCAGTTCATGTTGAGAATGGGATGATGGTCTGATTTTTGCTTTTCATAGTCCACCAAGTCCAGCACAATTGAGTTCACACGACAAGATGTTTGTCGTCTTTAGTCTCTGAGGATCATGGGCAGCTTGCAAGCATTATGCAGATAATCCAAACCTGCGATTCTTGCAAAATCTCCTTTACGTATGCCACTGCAAAGGGGGTGGTACTAGTGGATATCTCATTTATATACCTTCTGCAAAAAAACTTCCATCTCCCAACGTTTTTACACAAGTTGAATCCCTATCCCAACCATCAATAACTCACTCGCCTGCTAAAGTGCAAAATGGGGTGGCATCAAATTCACGGCATCCCGAGCAATTATGCAGGCCTTTCCACAAGGACTTTATGTAGGTTTTAACAAGTTGTGTGGCCAATTCGAGATATTGGTTTTGCTTTGAAATTGAAGCTACTGTCTGTGTGGAATAGACATACGATGCAGGTTTGCTTTCTCACATTTTCAAATGTATGTCAAGATTTATAAAATCATCATATAATTTTTTTACATCTTACTCTCACAGCTAGGTACTGGAGTAATACGTGTTTTGAAGTTACAGTGTCTTAATGTAAGTTGTCGTAAGCTATTGTAGCCGAAAAAAAATAGATAAGCAACTCCATCAAACTTAAAGATACTTGAGACATTCAAAGTATTGCAAAATTCAAAGTTGTATTACTGGAAAAAAAAACATAAATGATTGCCCTCTTCCTGATAAATTATCCAAAGTTCATTTATCGGACGGTGATGACAGAGCAACGCATATCTATGAAATGAAAAATGCTGCCATAGACTTGAGTAATATGCCTTTCAAGAAAAGCGGAGAAGACTTCCACATCGCATGTGTGTGTATATATATAGAGAGAGAGAGAGAGAGAGAGAGAGAGAGAGAGAGAGAGAGAGAGAGAGAGAGAGAGAGAGAGAGAGAGAGAGAGAGAGAGAGAGAGAGAGAGAGAGAGAGAGAGAGAGAGAGAGAGCCAAGGAATCCCACCAAGACAATCAAGAAAACCAAATTTGTGATCACAATTAAGTCATTTCAAGAAGATTGTGACTTCTTAGCCATTTTGCTCGACCAAAACACAATATTCCACCAGACTGTTTATGTTCAGGATGCAGTGGAGACCCCGATGGTCGGGGGTCACAAAGCTTCTGTCAAATATCACCCCCTGTTAATATTTCTTTCTGTCCATCCTCGTCACGTTTGATACAAAAGTAATGAACAATGTAAAGTGTATGTGTCTAGGAAAGAAAATTTCTTTTGACCTGGATATTTTATTTTAGACGCTTGTGTACCTATGACTAAAAAACTTAACTTTGACAGAAAACCTGAGCTTCCTTGACCATGAGAAAATGAGAAATCATTCTGACTGAATCTTACATGAAATTACTGGTATGCCGACCAACAAAGCTTTTAAAATGGATGACACATGTTGTGACCCCACCAACGGACCTTAGAGAAGACTTGTTTCAATGACTTCACACTTGAGAAGGGCTGTATAAGTTGAAGCCCTCCCCACCACCAGTAAACCCACTTGCATGCCAAATTGCAAAATGGGGTGGCAACAAATCCCTGGCCTCCTCTGTTTCGTCTTTTTCTTACATTCCCATCTTCCCTTTGTCACCCCCCTTTGCCCTCCTGACCAGCGCGATGCCTTACTCCATTTTAAGAATTCCTTCGTCCTTGATTTAACCTATTGTCCCTCTTTTATCTCTTATCTACGGCGTGAATGCACATTTGCCCTAGCATGGAACAAGAGCGTAGATTGCTGCTCATGGAAAGACGTCACTTGTGACCATGTCACCGGTAATGTCATCGGTCTTGATTTTTCTTTACGTCGGTTTCGTGGCGCTCTCTATTCCAATAGTTCCCTCCTTCTCCCCAAGCTTCGATTATTGAAGATGTCAAGTTGCAACTTGACCAAGTTCCCCTATTTCTTGAATTCGTTAGAAAGATTGATACGCTTAGACCTCTCTTTCAATAAGATTAGTGGGGAGATCCCAAAGTGGTTTTGGGAAATAAGCCATCATTCATTGAAAAATTTAGATCTTTCTAATAATCTTCTTGAGGGAGGTATACACCAATTGCATCGGAAGCAATTGTTGTATATTGACCTTCAGAACAACTCATTCCAAGGACCACTCCCGATCCCTTCACCTTCTACTCGTTACTTTTACGCCAACGACAATGGTTTCACCGATGAGATCCCCTCTTCGATTTGTCAGTTGAGTTCACTCTTGAGATTAGATTTGTCTAACAATAATCTCTCGGGAATTATGCCCCTATGTTTTGGTAATATGACCAAACTCTTGGATTTAGATTTGTCTAACAATAGTCTCTTTGGGAATATACCCCCTTATTTTGGTAATATAACCAATCTTGAGCATCTAAACTTGAGCAACAATAAATTACAAGGGCCACTACCGCGCTCCCTAGTCAAATGTGCGAACTTATCAGTATTAGTCCTCAGTCATAATGAGTTCAATGATATCTTCCCACATTGGCTAGAAGCACCGCGATTGTATTACCTTGATTTGCAATCCAACAAATTCCATGGTAGGATCAACCTCACTGCCTTCGAACTCTCCTTCCCTGCTCTTAGTTCTTTATTAATTTCCAACAACAACTTTACTGGATGGTGGTCTACAAAGGTTTTCTCCAACACCTCATTAGATGTAATAGATTTGTCCAACAACAAATTTGGAGGGCCAATTCCACAATCATTTTCTTCGAAAAATAGCTTGTCAACTCTTAACTTGAGTCGAAATCGGTTTGAAGGCACATTGCCCCGATCCCTTGTCAAATGTATATATCTGGAAATTCTAGATCTCAGTAGCAATCATTTAGGGGATGCATTCCCGAGATGGTTGGGAAAACTCCCAGAACTGAAAGTTCTCATTTTGAGGTCCAACAATTTTGAGGGTCTTTTGAATATTCCAAAGGGAGATCTCATCTTTAGCAAGTTACGCATTTTGGATCTCTCCAACAACAACTTTGGCGGTCCTTTGCCAGCCAACTTGATAATGAACCTTGAAGGCATGATGGATAGAGAAGATGGGCAATACGAACCATTGTATATGCCACAACATTCCTACATGGGGTCATATAAAAATACCGTGACTGTGATGATGAAAGGGCGAGAGACAGAGCTAGTGAAGATCTTGACCATTTTCACAACCATTGACTTGTCACACAACTCTTTCCAAGGGAATATCCCAGGAGTTATTGGACATCTTCACTCTCTCATAGGACTCAACCTTTCTCATAACCACCTAACCGGTTCCATTCCTTTGACTCTAGGGAACTTGACTGATCTTGGATGGCTTGATCTTTCTTCAAACAAGCTTAATGGGGTAATTCCTGGAAATTTGGGAGATTTGGCATCCCTTGGGTACTTAAACCTCTCGAAGAACCAACTCACTGGTCGAATTCCTCAAGACAAGCAATTGAGCACATTTTCAAGCGACTCGTTTAGTGGGAATCTAGGCTTATGTGGAACTCCATTGCCAAAATCATGCCCTGGTGATGCTCAACCTCCTCCACCGTCATCCCTGTCGACTTTTGATCTCGAAGTGCATGAGAGTTGGTTCAAGCATAAAGTAGTATGGCTGGGTTATGCATCTGGAATTGTAATTGGGATTTCTATAGCATACATCGCATTTGAAATGGGAAGGCCCGAATGGCTCGTGCAAGTGAGAATGCTGGAGGGAAGAGTAGGCGAGTGGATGGAGAAGTCAAAGCGAAAAGCCATCAAATTTCATGGACAATGAAATTGTTGAGTCTTAGTTGTCTCTTTAAATTATGCAATGTTTGTCTCTTTGAACTATGCAATGTAGATTTAATGAATCAATATGTAACCAGATCAGTTTGAAATGCTATTTCCCTTATGGAGGCTTGTTTTTAATGTTTTCTCTTCTTCATTCTCGGTGCAATTGTATATGAGATGAATTGAGAAGACGAATAATGAGATATGTCAAACACACAACTTTCAGGAAAAAAAGAGAGCAAAAAACAGAAAAAAGAAGCAAGTGCCATTAACCTCTACAGATATCTTTTCCATCTTCCCCTAGGCGCAGCCTTGATTGGTCTATAAACAATTAGAAGTGAAGACCGACATTAACCCATTCAGTCAAAGATATTAATAAATTTATCTGTCATGGAAATTGGTCATGAAGAATCAAAATCTAAAATCTTTGAAATTGCAGGTCAGTAGTAGATTATGGATCGGAAGCTATTATACATTTTCTTTGATAGAGAACATAGGTCAAAGTGGAACAAAAAACGTTCAACGGAATATTCAAAGCATCTTCGAATTCCAATTAACTATACTAAAAGTAATAAAAGAGGGCGCCTTCCCCAATAATTGACTGTCAAAATCGAAAGTAATTTGTCTACCATATGGTTATGGCCATAGCCATGCATGTCCTCATTAATAATGCTATCACAGACTTGATCAATATGCCTTCATGAATACCGAACAAAGACTTCCTTGCCATGTATTATGTGGCAAGGTATAATGGAAGAAATTCACCAATAAAATCCAAGTTATTAGATCAGCCTGCCAATGCCCAATTTGCATGAGTGCCCTGAAGACAACTCCAATGTCTCTAATGAATAGAGTCAAGGAGAAAAACTCTGTAGCCCGGCAAATACGCACCCCAAAAATTTCCAATCAAGTAAATCTAATTTATGAGATATCCTTCGTTCCGTTGATAATCTGTCACGTTGCCTTTGTTGGTAGGTAAGATGATAAAAATAAGGATTAATACCATGAAAAACCCTAAACTTGTACACCTGCAACAATTTTACCCAAAATTAAATTTTTGATCACAAAAAATCCCAAACTGGTACACCTGTGATAAATTTACCCCAAACTAATATTTTGACCAGTAAAAATCCCAAACTGGTATATTGATGACAAATTTACCCTCTATTAATTTCCGTTAAATTGAATTAATACCACAAAAAATCACAAACTGGTAAACTAATGACAAACGGAGGGTAAAACATAAAACTGGTACATCAGTTAATTGTCGCTTGTCATTTAACAAAATAATTTGACAGTAAAATTTAACGGAAACAAACCGAGAGTAAATTTGTTACAAGTATACCAGTTTGGGGCTTTTGGTGGTCAAAAAATTAGTTTGGGGTAAAATTGTCACAGGTGTACCGGTTTGGGGTTTTTCATGGTATTAACCTAAAAAATAAAATGTATTTCTAGAGTGATATTTGACAGTCTTATGAATGGCTCATCGGTATCCTCTATGTAGTCCGAATCAGCCCAATGGTCTATTAGTGAAATTAATAATCTACTAGAAATTTATAATAGTAAAATAATTATTTTGTCCCTAAGTTGCAACCGTTAACCGACACTCCTAGTTAAATATGTAAGCAATTCGAACTCTGCAAACGGAAAAAATGTGCTCATTTTTAGGAACGGACTACTGCTTGTAATCTTCTAGGGTTTTTAAACATGGTAAATTGATTATTTCATTAAGATGTTACTGACAAATAAACATGGGTACTCGTGCAATCAAAAGTTAATAAGCGACTAGGAATTTATGGTGGTAAAATAGTTATTTGTTCATATGTGATCAATTGATTACTAATAAAGTATGTAAGCAATTTGTAGACTGCTAGCGAAAAACGCGCTCACTTGTAATTTGTCATCTTCACGGGGACGGTTTACACATGTTATGTTGGGACTTTACTGATCAAAAGTAATAAAGGAGAGTGTCTTCCCCAATAATAGCAGGACTTGTACTAAACTAGAAGAGTCCTGAAACCTTGAGTTAAATCTTCTGCTGCTTAAATGGGCCTAATTAAAAAAAAAAACCCTCAACTTTACACTTTGTCTCAATTATATCCTGAACTTCTTTTTGTCTCAAGAAAAACCTCAAACTTTTATCCGAGTCCCAAATCTGCCCTCCCGTTATAAATCCGTCCAATTAACGTCAGAAAAAAAAAAGAGAACCGGCAGCTACGGCGGTGGCCAAGCCTTCGCTGGTGGCCGTCGCCACAACCACCGGGAAGGAGCGGCGGCCCTCGCTAGGGCCTTCCCGAAGGCCGGCGTCCCTCGCCGGCCCCGCGCCCTCCCGGATCGAGGGCTGCACGCCTCACCGGCGACTCGCCGGGCCGGCGGCAGCGACTTGCCCGGGCCGGCGGCCGGCGACTCGCTCGGGCCGGCGACCGGCGAGGGTCGTCGGCCCTCGCCTGGGCCTTCCGAGCCGGCGACCCTCGCGGCCCTGGCGGAGTCACCGGCGAGGGCGTGCGGCCCGATCCGGGGGAGGGCGACCCTCGCCCCAGATCGGGGGCTGCACGCCCTCGCCGGCGACTCGCCCGGGGACGGCGAGGGTCGTCGGCCTTCAGGAAGGCCTAGGCGAGGGCCGCCGCTCCTTCCCGGCGGTTGTGGTGGCGGCCACCGGCGAAGGCTTGGCCATCGCCGCAGCTGCCGGTTCTCTTTTTTTTTTTTTTTTCTGACGTTAATTGGACGGATTTATAACGGGAGGGCAGGTTTGGGACTCGGATAAAAGTTTGAGGTTTTTCTTGAGACAAAAAAAAGTTCAGGATATAATTGGGACAAAGTGTAAAGTTGAGGGTTTTTTTTGGAATTAGGCCTTAAGAAATGTGGCTTCATGAAGAAGTTCAAAATTTGATCCGAAAGAGCATTTAGCTGCCATTTTAGCTTCGTTTCGGTTTTGGTATTGATTAATTTGCAAGAAAACAAGTTTATTAAATGGCTCGCTGTCAATGGTACATTCAGAATGTGGTGAATTTGAGAAAATTACCAAAAAAGTCCTAAACCTTTTGCAATTGTGCCAATTCAGTCATAAACCTTTTTTTTTGGCCAATTCGGTCCTAAACCTTTTGCAATTGTGCCAATTTAGTCCATCCGGCCACTTTTGGCCAGCCGGCGCTGACGTGGCAATTTTTAATAATTTTTTATTATTTTCTCTTTCTTTTTTTTTTTTCGCCTATCTTATTCCCCGGTCGCCGGTCCGGCGACCGGCGAGAGGCTGAGGCCGGCGAGGTCCACCTCGCCGGCCATGGGTGAGGTCGACCTCGCCCAGCGACGAAGAGGCCGGCCTCGCCAGATCTGGGCGAGGTCAACCTCGCCAGGCCATGGCGAGGTTGATCTCGCCCGGCGACGGCGAGGTCGACCTTGCCAGATTTGGGCGAGGCCTCGCCCGGCGACGGCAAGGCCGCCCATATCTGGTTAGACCTCGCCGTCGCCTGGCAAGCTCGACCTCGCCCGGCGACGGCGAGGTTGACCTCGCCCGGCGACGGTGAGGTCGACCTCGCCAGATCTGGGCGATGCCTCGCCCGGCGACGGCAAGGCCTCTCCCGGCGATGGCGAGGCCTCCCAGATCTGGCGAGACCTCGCCGTCGCCATGGCCCGGCGAGCTCGACCTCGCCCCGGCCATGGCGACGGCGAGGTCTCGCCAGATCTGGGCGGCCTCGCCGTCGCCGGCGAGGCCGACCTCGCCATGACCGGGCAAGGCCTCGCCCGGCGATGGTGAGGCCGCCCAGATCTGGCGAGACCTCACCGTCGCCGGGCCAGCCTCGCCGTCGCCGGGCGAGGTCGACCTCACCTAGCTACGGCGAGGCCTCGCCAGATCTGGGCGGCCTCGCCGTCGCCGGGCGAGGGTCAGCCTCGCCGTCGCCGGGCGAGGTCTCGCCCAGATCTGGCGAGGCCTCCTCGCTGGCCTCAGCCTCTCGCCGGTCGCCGGACTGGCGACTGGGGAAGAAGATAGGTGAAAAAAAAAGGAAAGAGAAAAAAATAAAAAAATTCAAAAAATAATAAAAAAAAATTATGAAAAATTGCCACGTCAGCCGGTCGGCGTCCACGTCAGCGCCGACCGGCCAAAAGTCGCCGGATGGACTGAATTGGCACAATTGTAAAAGGTTTAGGACTGAATTGGCAAAAAAAAAAGGTTTAGGACTGAATTGGCACAATTGCAAAAGGTTTAGGATTTTTTTGGTAATTTTCCCGGTGAATTTCCCACAAGCTTTGTCATTCTTTCTGATTTAAAATAGAACCCCTTCCCGCACTTTTTTTTCTTGACAAAGACAATAAAAAAGAAGCAGGCGTGAAAATCAAGTATGAGATTTGAACTCGGCATTGTTATTTTCATGAGTCAATAAGGCTCTCTTTGTTTCGCAGAATATAAATGATTTGATAAAAATTTTCGTAAAAATGATGTCTTATATCGCTTGAAATAATTAGTCAACAAATAATGTTGTCATTATCAACAATAATTTACGTCTAAAAATTTTCGTAAACGATGAAAATTATTTTTCGTTCATTCATTTTTGTAAATAATACGAGCAATCATCATTTGAAAAATATTTTCAAATCATTCATTTTTCGCGAAACAAACACACCCTAAATATTATATTATACTCAAACATGTCTGTGTATATATCATCGACTTTGCTATTTTACAAAATTCTATTCCCTGTGATATATTGGGTATAGCATGGGCTTATGCCAAATCCTCTGTTTTCTCGTTTCTCTTTCTTTACAATTATGGGTCCTCCCTTTTTCAACAGAACAATTTTGTCATCCTGTGCCGAGCAATACATTACTGTAGTTTAGCAACTCACTCACTCTTCTAATGACTCCCATTCATACTGCAATCCCAGGACAAGTGGGTGGAAGAACGACAGTGATTGTTGCTCGTGAAACAAGGGCGTAGAATGCTGGGTTCACATATTATCTAAAGACAAGCTCATGGAACAAGGGCTCAATTGGTTACATGACGACTTTGACAACTGTACGAGGTGCTGGGAATCCGG